ATCTTAAAGTTCGAGGATAAGTAGCCTTGTTTCAAGGACACCTTCTAGATTGGTTCCGATGATCAACATATCATGTACATATACCATAGTGAATCCCCTCGTGCATTTTGAGTAAATGCATCTGTCGGCCTCATTATGTTGGAATCCGAAAGAAGTGTTAGTCGTATCAAATATTTCATGCCATTGTTTGGGGGCTTGTTTTAACACGTATAGAGATTTTATAAGTCTGCACACTTTGTTCTCTTGTCCGGGTACCACAAACCCTTCAGGTTGCTCCATATAAACCTCTTTGTTTAGATAATCATTCAAAAAGGCTGTCTTTACATCCATTTGATGGATGTACAGACATTTTATGGCTGAAATTGCTATAAGAGTTCGAATAGAACTAATTCTAGCAACTGGAGCATATGTGTCAAAATAATCAACTCCTCTTTCTCTCTATACTCTTTAGCTACCAATCTAGCCTTGAAAGCCGAAATTGAACCATCTGGATGTAGCTTCCTTTTGAATAACCATTTAGAACCTATTGGTTTTGCTCCCTTTGGTAAATTAGACAATTCCTAAGTACCATTACCCATAACAGAGTTCATTTCATCATTTATTGCTTCTTTCCATAGTGGAACATCCTTGAAGTCATAGCCTCTTTAAAAGTCTTAGGATCATCTTCTATATTGATGGAGAAAATGACATCTATCGGCACTTTCTTTTTCGTTCCTTCTACTAAGTATGAGAAGAAATCATCTCTTAGACTTTTCTCTTTTCTTGATCGTGTACTTCTACGTGGTTCGTCAACCTTATTTGATGTTTTTGAACTATCACGAGATGTGCAAGGAAGATTAGAGGTCAATGTTTGGTAGTAAGTTTTCAACTTCATCTGAAAACTTATCTTCAAAAAACTCCACATCTCTGGATTCTACTGTGACTCCTGAGTCCTTATCCAATAATCTAGAAGCCTTGTTATTTCTAGCGTATCCAACGAATACGATTTTAATAGCACGGGTTCCCATTTTAGATCTTTTTGGATCAGGGGTTCAATAGTAGGCAATGCATCCCCAGACTCTAAAATAGTTCAAGTTTGGTTTCCTTCCTTTCCAGAGCTCATATGGACTCGTTGGAATCACACGACTAGTGATTCTGTTATGAATATGGCAAGCAGTCAATAGGGCTTATCCCCATAAATTGTTTGGCAGACCCGATTGGTTTAACATACAGTTGACCATTTCAACAAGGGTTCGGTTCTTTCTTTCCGCCAAACCATTTTGTTGAGGAGTAAATGGTGAGGTGCGTTCATGTTTGATTTCATTCTCTTTGCAGAATGTATTAAATTCTCTATTAAAATATTCACCACCTCTGTCTGATCGAAGTATTTTGATTTGTTTTTCAAGTTGATTTTCTACTTCAACTTTATATAATTTAAAAGCCTCAAAAGCTTCATCTTTTGAGTGTAATAAGTAAACATGTAAAAACCGGCTGAACTCATCGCAAAATGTAATGAAATTCCTTTTACCTCCACGAGTAAGAATTCCATTTAATTCGCAAATGTCATAATGAATTAACTCTAAAATTGATGTATCCCATTTAACTAAAGGAAAAGGTTTGTTTGTAAACTTTGATTTTACACAAGTTTCGCATTTTCCAAAATCCTTGTTGTCAATTTTGATCAATCCTTTATTTTGCATTTTTCAATATTTTTCACATTTGTATGAGCTAAATGTTTGTGCCATAATGAGATAGAACAAGCAAAATAATTCAAAGAATTAACTTTATTAATAGAGTCGGGAATCACATCAAGTGTAAAAACGAAAAAAACCAACTACTTGATCAGTCACAATATTAACATTACTACTCGCAGATCCACTCGGTTCGACTTCATCATCATCCTCCCTCAAATTTAAGTGATACAAACCGAGATGGTAGTATCCCTTACCAACAAAAAATTTCCTTTTGTAAATCACGAGCTTTCTAGACTCTATGTTGAGTCCAAACCCGTTTTCATCGAGTTTAGAAGAAGAAACTAGATTCTTGTTGATAGAAGGCACGTGAAGAACATTTTTGAGGGTGACAGTCTTGCCAGAAGTGAATTTGAGTAGCACTGTTCCCATACCAACGACATCTGCTTGGCCGTTGTTTTCCACTATCACTTGCTTTCTTTCTCTCACTGGTCCATAAGTAATAAACATAGATCTGGTGCCAAACACATGAATCGTGGCACCAGTGTCTAAGTACCAGCCACCTCGACTCGCCACAATCCTGGTTGAAGCCTCGGAAATCATGTCGATCTCATCCATGTGTAGGTTTGCCACAAGACTCTGAATGCCCTCAATTGTATTTGTAGTTAGGGGTCCAGACTTCCTATGTTTGCATTCCTTAGCATAATGTCCTGCCTCTCCGCAGACATGACACTTGTCGACCCTCTTCAAATTTGGGCCGGAATTGGAGTGTTGACCTGACCTCTTGAAAATTTTCTTTTAAGGACCCACATTCTACCTTTTGCTTGATCCTCCTTTGTTTGATCCCCTAGACTTTCCCTTTCCTTTGCTAAATCGACTTGCCTCTCTTATCCCGATTCCGGGCCTCTTCTTTGATCCGTAAATGTTTTAGCAAATCATGTAGAGAATAATCTTCAGACTTATGCATTTTGCATTTTGAAAAATATTTCCAAGATGGGGGTAGTTTATCAATCACCGCCCCCATTTAGAAGATTTCAGGAAGAGTTATGGAAAGCATTTTCAATTTATTAACCAACACTTGGAGTTCGTGAACTTGCTCCAAGATTGGTTTATCATCAACCATCTGGAACCTCAAGTATTGAGACACGAGGTATTTATTAGTTCCATCCTCTTGTGCCTTATACTTGAACTCCAAAGCTTTCCACAATTCTCTTGGGTCGGTGATAGGAGAGTACAAGTCAAATAGCCGGTCGGATAGGGCATTCTTTATATGTCCGCAAGCAAGACTTTCCTCTTCTTTGCGGAATAGCCTCTGCTTCTCTAGATCGACTATCAATGCACTATTTGGTACTTCTCCCGCTATGGGAACCAGATTCTCAGGAATAAGGTCAACTTTGGGTCCAACAGGTATAGTTATTCACGTCGATACTGTCGAACTTTACTAGATCTTGATTCATGATTCGAAAATTGCCGGAGTCCATTATAAAACCTTTAAGATTGTTGAAAATTTTAATTTAAAGGATTAGAAAACAAATATATTAAATCTTTATAAATAAATTTTAGGACTTTATTAACGAGGAACAAAACCAATATCTATAGTAACTTTATAGAACGAGATAGAAAACTTAAGACCGAAATCTCGCACCCTCGGCCTCGGCCACGCACGCACGTGTACGTTGGGCTTCCACTCAAAACCCCGCCATTAGTCTACCCATGTGTTCAAAATCCACTTGTAGAGAAAGCCTTATAAGCTTTTCTAGAGTTTCTTTATCTACCACTGTAGGATGGAGGAAAACCTCCAACCTCACTTATAATTTCCAACAGTTAATCCCAACACTTTTAATCTAACACAACAAAACCCAATCAAACGAAAGCTACATAAATCTAATGAAAGCAATATAATTAATCTAAGTATAGGAATCGATCCAAGGAGTATCACTCTCCAAGAATCATTTTTAACCTAAGAAAGCCATAAAATTAACTTTAGAACATTGCAATAAATTAGATAAGGAGAAATAATTATCAACTAAAATAAAATGGAATTAAACTATAAGTACGAAAATTAAACTAAACTAAAACATAAAATAAAGGAACAAAAGAGAAGAATACAATACAACGGGTGATAATCCATAATGCTTGAACTTCATCGTCGATCTGCCATATTATATCTTCATCAAATCTCCGTTGAGCCAAAGAACGAAGGAAATACAAATAGTAAAATACAAAACTACACTAAACCTAAACCTAAATCTAAGGGGCTGTTTTACCAAACACTTACTCGGTAGGCGTTTACCGATAAAATTTAACACTATCATTACTTACCAGGTAAGATTGTTTTCCACCAAAACGATATCATATGTAGCAATTTTCCCGGTAAGCGCTTACCGTGGTAAGATTTGTTGCCCTCACTTACCGGGTAAGACTCTTGGTCCTTGTCTCGCTCTTACCGGGTAAGATTCTTGGTTCTTTATCATATTCATCTAATAAGATAATGTGACTTGGTAAGCGCTTAGCATTTGATAAACGACTCCTAAGCTAATCAATTAAGGAAAAACTAATAACAAGATTAAAAACAAAACTAAACTAAAACTATAAAACAAGAATAAAAAGCAAATTGGGGCTACCTCCTTGAAGAGGAGAGAAAGAGAGATCCTAAACCTAAAGAAAAGTTTATACTTATAAATTGAAATTTTCAAATTAACCCCTACAACTTTACTTCTCTTTCAACATCCACCCTCTTGATTTCTTTTTTTTCCAAACTTCCTTAACCGAGTTTTATTCTTTAAATTTAGGTCCAACTTAGTCATATTTATTGAATTGATCCTTCACATGAAGGTTGATCAAATGATCCAAAGCTTATCTTCATCCGTTTTCACGTTTCAAGACAAAATGCTTGTCAAAACCCGACAAAACGACAAAAACAGTAAAGCAATATCCCCGATCGACGATTAAACACAAATCAACTAAAAATCAAATAAAAACTATATGCAAACAACTAAACACCACAAAAAAATGCAATTATAAACTATTATGATGCAGACACAAAATGCACTTAACAACCTTATCGTTAGGTAGTTACTCAAATTCTAGCCTTGTACTTATGTACATATTTTATCAAGTTGCGGAGAATAAGCAAGAGATTTATCTCCTTCGGATTAATGCATCACCAATAATCGATTAAACAACGAAGTCAAAACATCCATTCATTTCATAAAGACACGTTACGAGAAACATAATATAAGTAGTCGCATAAAAACAACAAAGGACTATTTAAACATGATAACAACACAAGATCATTCGAGTCGTTTATTGAGATTCTTTATATCAGTCTCAAGGATCAGATTCAAGATCTTCTTGATCTTGCAACTCCCAAGTTCCATCCTTCTTTTGAACCATACCGGTATTCTTCTCAGTCCACCACGAACTAGGCACACCATGTTTAGCCTTCAAGACATCTGCAAACTTGTTAACAAGAGAAATATCCCGATTAATTACCAACTTAAACCCTCCCAAACTTCCTTGTGTTCCGGCAATTCCATGCATATAACCCTCCATGCTATGCCAACTTCCAGGATTCCCAGGACTCTTCAAGTATTCAGACTTCATGAAATCAATCGTCATCTGACTTCCAACATTCTTATACCCTATTGGAGGGTATTTTGGAACCACATCTAACACATTTTGGATCCGCAGGCAGTAAAGATCTTTCTGTTGAGTGAAAACTTTATTGAAGTTGGAGTCTCCAACCCCAGGTGAAGCAAACCCGAAAACAGTCACTGGGCAAGCTTTGGGTGGAGCAATCGATTGTTTGTTGAGTCCATTTATGACTATGTCTAGTGCATTTATTGTCGCGACTGCCGCACCCATACTGTGCCCAGTTATGCTCAAGCTAATTTCCTCGAGCCTGTATTGATTCACTAGTCTCTTCACCTCGCTCAATACCTAATTTTTTTGTCACATGAAGTAATATCAAATTGAAATGAACTTTTTTCTTGTCAAAAGTAGTATGGTACTGAATTCAATGATTATTCTAATTATGTTTTAGACTTTTTATAAAGATAATAATTAAGTATTATGTTAGAATTCAATGATTATTCTAATTATGTTTTAGACTTTTTATATTTAAAATAAGATATCTATCATGTATTTGATTATGTTTATCTACAATTAGTTATATGAATTCAAACATGGAGGTTTAATAAGTTGTACTTACGCGCAATTTACTTATAATCTTGAATTTTAAATAATATGCATCAATAAACAATATTTCATGCATAAAAAATAGTTTTTAAAAGTTTTTATCAAATGTTTTATAATATAATGTGTGTGTGTGTGTGTGTATACACTAATTAAAGGAAAGTTCCGCTAGGAACCTAAAATTGATTAGGAACCCAGGAACTAGCCATACTGCATCATGTGTCCTTTTTCAGGATGAATAACACATTCATGATGAATATGGAATTATTACTCATCATGAATATAAACGTCTTATTCATCATACATTCATGATGAATATGTTACAATATTCATGATGAATAACATGTCCATATCCTGATAAATATGTCACGTGTCGTGTTGTAGACGATTCCTAGTTTCCTAGGTAATTTTAGGTTTCATGGCACTTTTCAAAAATGCCATGTTGAGACACTAATATCACATTTACTTTTCATGTCATATTAGGTTTTCTAACAAGTTATCAATGAAATTGGACAATTTATATACTGTTTTATAATATTTAATTTATAGAACCATAAAATAAAGCGTACTATCTAAAGGCATTGCAATAAGTTTATATGACGCTTTTGGACGTCTTAACAAGTTCTTTAGGACACTTTTAATACAAAGCATTGCGTTGAATATTTTTGAGAAAATATCCTATAAACCCATCATTTTATATGAAACTTGTTTTTATAAGACATATTTTTTCAAATAATGTCATACAAAATAGCTAATACGAAGTTTTTTTTTTAATATAAAAATGTCCTAAATAACTTGTTATGACACCCAAAAACGTTCAAAAAACTTCTTATAACTTTCTATGAACTTCTTATAACGCCTTTAGATAAGATGTTTTATTTTTTGGTCCTATAAATTAAGTCTTATAAAGCGGTTTATTAGGAGCTTAGAAAATTTTAACATCCTATAAACCCAATTTTGTTGTAGTAAGTTCGAATTATTTGCTTATTGAGTTACGTTTTCTTGTCTATCTTCTTCGATATGAATTGTTAGGTTGTATAGCTTTGTCATAACAACTTATTGTAATGCCTTTAAAAAATTACATGCATCTCCAACTGCTTTTCTATTTTAGAGAATTTTAACATAAATTACGTTATTATAATATTCTCTAATTTATCATTCCAAAACGCTTTTTTTTTAAATTAGTTTCTATAAATAAAAAAATAACAACTCAAATTCATTGGTAGAATTGAATAATTTTCTAATTTAGAGAACAAGATAACAAAGCTGTTGGTGCATTTTAGAAAAAAAAACTCATTTATTTTTGTATTTTAGAGAAGCTGTTCGAGATGCTCTAACAAAATGATGTCATTTAACAACTTATACGCACCTGATCTCTAGCGCTTGTTTTATTGTAACGTGTATTTGGATCATCAGTCGTGTAGATCGAGTACCAACCTTGGTGCATTTTCGGGTCATCCTTGTTAAGCACCCCAAATATTTTCGGACCCGAAACCAACGGGAACTCCATATCATGAATCATATCCGAGGCGTTAACCGTCCCCCTCCAAACAACCATAATGTCTCTCCTCCCTAACGCCTTCTTCCCTTCGTCTGTAGCCACCGCCACAAACCCTATCCAATTGGACTTCTTGCTCCAAGCCTGTTTCGAAACTGAATTGACGAACGCACCCGGAAGTACAACAGCTGATGTGGCATAAATGTATTTAGTCACATCGTATTGGCTCAACGGGCGGCCTTCAATTAAGCCGACCCGCGATAACAGATTTTTTCGTGCATAGCGGCAATTCCCTGCATTCTTTGATACGCTAACTTTGTTGTAAGCATCGTAAGTGGCTTCAGCCATTTCGCCATAGTGGATGAGGTAGCGACGAAGACCGGGTGGTGGAGGGTCTAATAAGCCCAACCAGTGGGTGATTCCGCTTAGAATTTTCCAGTTTTTGGCGATGTCATCCATGACTGCTTAATTTGTGGCTTAATTGCAACTCGTTTGATTGTTCAGAGCTTATTTATAGGTGAAATTGTGAAATCCATGACATATGAAACGTTTCGAAGTGGTGAATATAAGCTTCTACTTTTTGTTGTTTTATCTTCACGGAAAACGTATATTATAACAACTATTTACCAAAGATTTGTTCGTGAATAAAAATATGTTCTCCCAAAATTTTACGGTCTTTTTTATCCCACCAATCAAGTAAAAACACGTCATTATTTTATTCAGTATAATTTTATTTATTTGGTATTCACTTAATTGGTGGACAGGAAAGGACGGAAAATTTTGAAATAACAGATTCTCTTCTATTTTCCGTACACATCTGTGGACCCAAGATTTTTGCTGACAGGTGCACCTTTAAGGTGATCAAAGACCCGCAAAGTCTTCTGATGTATTTTCAGTCGAATTCCACCATCTTGAAAGATTTTTTGAAGTTAATTTTTTGGTTCTTTTAGTTGATTTCAAAGGACTTTTTCAATTTATTGGTTGACAGTCCCTTGTACTTTTTCTAATATCCCGGAACACCCCTTAAATTTTGATGAATACACGTTTTACACATGAAAAAATATTCTACTTAACGAAAATCAATTGAATGGACACACTTGATCCCACTAGGGCCTTCATAGGTCCACCCCTGTCCGTACATATATCTGAATAAAATTTGTTGTCCTTATTTTTTTTATTAACCTCGATATCCAACTCGCTATGCGAGCTAACTATTCTCATGGCGACCACCTGCTTTGTAGATAGCCTGGAGTCATCGTATTTGAACATCCGTAGCCACAAGGGGATTTTTATTTCTACTTGGATTTGAACCTGAGACCTCCTGGTACTTTTGACCTTTGGAGCCAAGCTCAAAACAATCAGACACCATCTTTGTGGTTGTTGTCCCTAATTTCTTGTCTGGTTCAAAATTTTATATTTTCTTTATCTCGAAATAAATGTCTAACTTCTTGTTGTTTCAATAACTGTAACTTTTAAAAATAGATGGTTATAAGTTATTAAATTTTCATTTCTATCATTCGCATGAATATTTAAAAGTCGAAGAAATTAATTTTTTTTTTCTTTTAAGAGTATTAAAATTATCATCATTCGGTTGATTAAAAAAATTAATAATTATATATTTTTAAAATAGTATATTTTTCGTAAACAATTTATTTTTAAATATAAGAAGTATGATTTTTTTTTCAAGAAATAACAAAATTGAGTTTATATTGATGACAACAGTTTTCTAAACGTCATAATAAATTGCTTTATAAGGCATAATTTATAGGAATAAAAACTAAAGCATTTTATTCAAAGGCGTTGTAATAAGTTTATGTGACGCATTTGGACGTCTTAACAAGTTTTTTGGGTCACTTTTAATACAAAAGTGTAGGATTTTGCTATTTAATAAGACATTTGTTTTTATAAAATAAAATCCTATAAAATAATTAATATGCGTTTTTAATTAAAAAAAATCCCTATTAAAACTTGTTACGATACCCAAAAACGTCCAATAAAACTTGTTATGATATCCAAAAACGTCCTATTAACAAATTTATAATACTTTACGGTTCATGAAATTATACTTTTAATTGGATAAAGATATATACATTAATTTGATCAGAAGGATTTAAATACAAACCATGTTATTCGTACAAATTATATAAAACAATTTATAGAAATGAGAAGAACATTTATTATGATCTGGATATTTATGAAAAATATACTAAAAGTTTATTAATTACAATCAAGTCGCTTTATATTAGTGAAACAATTGAGATATTTATGAAAACAAAGATTAATAAATGAACGGTTGAGATTAGTTTGTAAATAATTCTTAAAACTCCCTCTTAATTCAGTTGTATTAATCACTGAGGATTTTATCTGGAAAGAGACATATAGCAATAGCCGAGGTTCTTACCCAGTAAATGAAGGAGAAGAATCTAAGTGGTTAGGACTTTCCGAGTAAGAGACTGGTCAGTGGCGATTCCATAAATTTTGGTGATGGAGGTCGGAATTAAAGTCATGGTGCAAGATCATTTAAGTTTTTGATGATGACAAATATTATTTTTATTGCGGATCGAGACAACATATATATATAGAGAGGAGCGATCAAATGAAAACGGTCATCATTTGTGTAAACCGTACAAACCACCCTCATACGTCCATTTCATTGTTTAATCTTGTGAAATTTTTTCATGAAATTGTTTAATCTTGTGAAATTGTTTCATATAATTTTTTTTTTTGATGAATTTGTTTCATATATGGTTATGAAATTGTTTCATATAATRTTTAATGAAATTTTAATGAAATTGTTTCATGTATTTCTCTAAAATTAAAATAATGAAACGATAATATTCATGATTAGCACCCTTCACAATAAAAATGGTTAATCAACCTCTCGTAATTACAAAAAAATGAACAAAATGAAAAATTATGATTGGATGAATGTGGTTTTCACGGTTTATACAAATTGGGTGGTTTTTATTTGAACGCTCCCCTATAGATATATATATATATATACTAGAAGCGTACTCGCGCAATGCAGCGAGATAAATCGTGTTTTTAATATTTCATTTTATTCTTTATCTCAGTCGATGTTATAATTATGTGATTTTGAGAAAGCGAAGATGTTTTTATTTTTGAATAAAATATATGTTTGACGATATCATAAAAATTTGACAAAAATATATCGATATTAGTATCAAATTAACTATTTGAAATTCCTCATTTTTTTGTGAAATTTTTTAATCCAATTTTTTTATAATTTAATTTATGTACAGTAACGAAGTAATTTATATTTGGTTTAATAATATAATTTTTTATAAAGATAATAATTATTTATTTTGTTGGAACTCGATAATTATTCTAATTAT